TGCTCGCGCAATTCGCGCCGGCTTCGACACAGCGCCTCCTGTTCTCGGGTTGCAGTTGCAGTTGCAGTTGCAATTGCTGCTGCTGCTGCTGCCGCTGCCCTCCCCGCCACGTGACTCCTACACGTGCACACGGAGCGGTGTCTTACGCGAGACCGTTCACCTTCGTTGCATAATACTCGCGCGAAAAGGTCATCGCGAACAACGGAGCCAGATATTTCCTAATATGATTGATAAACCGGCTGATCGAGCCGATCGGTGGGACTCCAACACGCCTCACGACGTTGCGCCCTCGGGAAACACGCTGCGATCGCCGGGATTTTCGCGATTTTGTAACGCGGTCTCCGTGTAACGACGCTGCCTCGGTAATCGATCCAGCGCGAATGCCACCGCAGAAACGACCCGCGTTTTTTCTTTCGGCCGTTTCTTTCTTTTCAAATTGCAACGAAGTTTCCTTCTTCAGATTTCCTGGAAGGAATCTAGTCGGGGAATTCGATCTAGTTAAAGAGTATCGGTAATTCGTGGATTTCTCGGTTCACCGCGAAATCCGAGTCTATCGAACGCCATCGTTGATCGCGGGAAAAACAACGTGACTATCGTCCAACGATTCGATCGTTTCGTCCATTTGACTCGGTATTATCTCACGATATATTTCAATCGGATTTGTTTCCTCTAAATTGGTTGCACCCACGAAGATCAACGAATACAGCTAAAACTATTGTTAAAAGCCACCGACAAAATGGACCGAGTCAGTGACTCGTGCACGATTCTGAAAAGGGTCCGTCTGGACCCTTAGAAATAAATAGACGATCGGTGAAGTCTTGTTACCTGGTCCAGCAGGCCAGAGATCCGAAATTCCGATTCTAAAGATCGTACGACGACAATCCTCTCGAGGCGGCTGTTGATCGATGATCGAACAATGACGTAACACGGGATCCCCGGTATCCGAGACGAGTAGGATCTTGTTATCGGGGTGAGCCGTGGAAAAGAAGAAACGTCGCCGGTCGTGCACGCGTTGCAACTGCACTCGACCGGCCGTATGCACTCGATTATAAGAGTGTCGCGTCACGCGTTTCCCTGGAACGCAGATACCGCTAATCCCGGCCGATGTCACGCCGAACAATCGCGAGATCGAGATAACCGGTGCACAATGCGAAATCCACCGCCTGCCTCCCCCCCACCGCAACGACCTTGTCACCGATATCTTTCGATATCCCATCGTCGCAATATGTTCCGGCTAGCCAAGCCGTTCGCTATGATCCGGGGGGATCTGTGTGTCAGATTTTCCCCGGATTACCGAGACGTCCGGCAATACCGAATGTTCGGCCTTTGTTTAAAAAAGAAACGCGTTTTTCTTTCGGGTCAATGTCTATCGAGATAGCCCTCCCCCCCTCCTTGCTTTAGTGCTCCTATGTGCTTCCGATACGATCGCGGTAATCCGGGATTCGAGTAGCCTCTCTTTCTTATCCGCGATCGCAGATATCGGGAAAGTACAAAATTCTTGAAGAATATATATCATTGGAATTAGAGAGAAACTGACAGAATCGTTATGCGACTGGCACTGTTTGTTCAATGGTTCTACGACAGCCAACGCGTCATACTCGTCACAGAGCCAATAACGAGACGTCAGCGACTCCGTGTTTTCTATCTGTATTATAGCCAGAGCGTTAACGTTGTTTCATAACCGAGCAGCCGCTACCTCTAGTTTGCCAAGCACACGTTCTATTAATCAGAAGCCTGTTTAGCACTCGATGAACCCTAACATTCCGAAACGATGCTTCATTTTCCCTCCCTAGAGCAGTTTCGCTGCAACCGAAGCTCGTCGTTTACTTTTACGCATTCCACCGCGTTCTCCAAAAAAGCTTGCTGCACTCCTCGGCTACCGTTAAATTTGTTGGCAAACGCCGTCTCTGACGATACAAAACGAATCCATTCTCTGGGAGAGCTAACGAACAGAGATCGACCTTAGAATCAACGGTCTCCAAAAACTGCTCCGCCTTCTATCAGTTCTCGAATTCACTCGGCAGTCGCCTAGTTGAATCGGACGTTAGCGATCGTCAAGACCAAAGCGAAAACGAGCGAGCACAGCGTGAATCGCAAAGAGCATCGCACTCGGACCGTGCCGCCGTCTCTCGGAAGCAAGGAAACAATACCAACATAGTTCTGGTTCGCAGACAGTCCTCCTCCTCCGCTCGTGACCGCGTTTTATCGCGTCTCGACCGCGAAGCCCGAGAACGTGTCTCGGTGCACGTGCGTGCCCTTCGCTCCAAGTCCGTGAAGCTTATTGCACACACGGTTTACGCTACGACGAGGCTGAGAGTTCTGCAAATTAGGCCGTGGCCCACTTCGGCCGCGATAGAAGAGAGAAGGTGGCGGCGACCAAGGAGGAGGAGGGGGTGGAGGTGGAGAAAAGAGGAGAAGGAGGTGGTGGAGGAGAGTGGGATCGATGCCGGAGTACAAAGCACCAAGAGGATGGAAGGGGATAGAGTTCCCGTTTTCAAGCGACGCGACGCGACGACGATCGCGATCGATCGCGTCTTCTTCGACGGCCACCACGTGGCCGAACTTTCATCTGTTTCCCCTCTACCACGCGTTGCTCCAGTTCGCGAAAGAAACTGCACCGAATGCGCGCTTTGGGGGCCAAGATGGCCGTCGGGCTTCGCCCCGATTCGTCAATCAACGTTTACGCGCTACGAGATCTCTTGCGATTTTGTAATCGCGTTTCGCTCTTCGGCCGAGAGAGTAGAACCCGTTCGGTATCCTTTTAGGTGGAAATTCTCTAGCTAGAGAAATTTAGCGACCAGTTTTTCATCAGTCGGACGGGTATGGTCGTTAAGGGCCGAAGGGAATTAGCGAATTATCGTGACGCTGGGAATTATAATCGCTGGGGGAATCTTTGCCGAATCGATTCGTCACCCGAATGGCGCGCCGGCGATCACCCATGGCCGGATACAATAACATGGCGATACAATAACAAGGCTGCAACTTCTTGCAGTCCGCACAGTTTTTGCGGCGCGCGAAACGCAACCGATCGTAAATTTCCTGCGACGCCGCCAGCGCCTTCGAGATAATTTGTCTACAGTGTATGCAGTCGTTGTCGCCAACTATTTTCCGCGATCGTGACAAGACACCGTCTGGCACATTCTCCGCTGGTGCAGATAAGGATCAGAGTCCTCCTCGGCTCGTCACGAATGACGCAACGGCCGCTGCCGCGTTGCTCACGCGTTGCACGAGACTTTCGTAAGCGTCCGCTCCGAAAACACGATCGATCCGCGCGGCACGCCGCCTCGGTCCCGATCTCAGATATTCCCCGATCGACGTCCTGAGACCGCCAGGTGCGGATCTGCTCCGATAACGACGATACCGATCGGAAACAATGGGCTGGGCTCGGGTTTATTGAGCTCGAGCCGCAAGACGCCCGTTGCGTCATCCGAATCCTTTAGCCGAGGTCAGACTCCGCCGATTGCTTTTCAGGGTCGGTTCGGGCGCGGCCCGAGATATAAATCGGCGGTCGAGATCCAAGATCGATGGGGACTCTGGCGCAGATTGCCGGTATTATGATCTCCAAGTGGAAATTTAGAGTCGTAACCGTTGAAACTTCTCGAGTTCGGATCGGGAACGAATCATCTGCGGAGAAATATCGGCCGCAGATTTCTCGGTGCGCTGGGCAAATACGATGCTGTAATTTCGGAGTCGTAAATATCGTCACGATGCTAGGCGAAATTCGTCGTCGCGTTCGCGGAATGCGCGCCGACAGAAACCAGACCGGGGCTCGTTACTGGAAAGTGACGAAATTCCGTGCAACGAATATCGGCGTTGAATTTTTAACGAGCCCGCCGGAATCTCATCGGCGATCGAGATCCGTAATCGGTAAACTGCACTTTGAGACCAGTCCGATACACGCATAAACGCGCCGGAGTAAACACGGCGGAGCCCCCGATCTGAATCGGAGCCGCTAAAAATACGGATTTCACTGTTCAGTTTTTATCCCAGGATCGGAGATCGACGCGAGATCCATCGGGGATCATTTAGCAATCGCAATTCCACGCACAAATGCAAAGGTTCGCAATCGGTTTCACAATAATTTCATCGACTCTTTTTCCCGTTCGAGCGAGATTTCCCAATCTCCTCGGGGAACGAGCACTGCATGTCCGACTAAAACGACGGAATTGTCGCACCGATTTTCACGGGATCATCGCGGATTACCGGCAAAGCTAATTGTTAAAGCCCGGCCACGAAGCACGTACCACACATTGTCCCGGACACGATCGGTTTCCAGTTCAAAGTCCCGGCGCGTGACGAGTCGTTGGATGATAACCGTCTATTCAACAAATTATCAAGGCCCCTCGTTTCGATAAAGCCTCTAATCGAAATCGATCGCCGAACGCGCGGTTATTAAAACGCGGGGAATAATCGCGGTGAAGTCGAGGCTGGAAAAATAGAAAAACCACTTTGGGGAAGAATCGACGACTCACCGAATATACGACTCCCGCAACGTACGAACCAGGAAAACCGTAGCGTAGCCACAGGAAAAAGAGGTCTGGCACGTGGCGAAACGTTACAATATCGGACCGAAACAATTGACGTCGGTGGCCGCTAACCGCAGAAATTCGCACGTCGCGACGCCGCGGTAACGTCAGCGGGGTCCCTAACGTCTTAAAAATCTGCACGAGGACTAGAGCGAACCAAACTTTGAGCAAGCTGCTCGAGAACATCGGATAATCCCAAAAAATTGATCTTACGCAAGAGGCGCGAAACTTCGGAAACCTGAGGCTAGGGTTGCGTCAACGGTGGTTAGCGTCTCGAAACCTGCCCTATACGGAGCAACGTCAATGGAAAGAAAGTCAATTTTCACCGGTGGAAGCTTTCAATTTTCCGGTGAAACGTTTAGAGGGACCGCGAACCGATTTTAATCTCGAACCGTAGCGAAAAAGCGATCAGCGAAAACCGAAGGTCGGAAAAATCTTGGGGTCCGTAGGGCAGTGCGAAGAAGAGCTACTCACCAATTTTGAAAGATTCTCTCGAGCAGGGTCGACCGACGGAACAAAGATCCACTTTGACTGTTCAGGGTGGTCGGTAGTGTTTGTAAACGGTGGTTCGCACGCGTCGCTTGGCGAACGATCAAGTATACAGTTTTCCCGCGGGACACGGGTCCGTGGGTTCACTGGCAGTGCGCGGGGAATCCCGTTCGTCGAACCAACGTGACGGCTATAGTTGCACCGTCGCACGAACAGAGCTCGACGAGGTCCCTCTTGGTCGGGTAAATCCAGAGAACGCACGGCTTTTACAAAGTCACACAAACGGTTGGAACGATTCGAAAAAAAACAACAGAGTAGTCTCCGAATGAGTCAGTGATCCTCGACGGTTCTGCTCTGGCAACAGGCACACTTGCAATCGAATCACTGAGTGCACCCTCTAACCCGCGAGAGGATCTTTAAATCCGGTACACGCGATCGGTGCTGCTCTCGAGACGAGCGTCGGTGAACTTGAACTGTTCGAGCAGGTGACAGTAGAGAAACACTGTCGGTGTCTCTGCGTGTCAATGGTAGAGTAACAACGGAACAAGCGCCGAGAGAGACAGAGAAAGAGAGAGAGACATGCACGTCTGCTCGCTACGGTGTCGGTCTGCAAACTGACTGCACGCTAACCGAGGACCGAGACTCGCGACTGCCGTCTTGGCCCCAATGTCGCGTCTGGGCTTCGAGTTTGATGCGAGAAGCTGACGCGCTCGGTCACGTGTATGTGTCCCGCCTTCTCCCTCTGTATGTGTACGTTTATGCCTGCGTGTATGCGGACACACCGCACCGCAAGGATCGTCTCCGTCTCTGTCTCCGCTTCGTCTCCGTCGCCCAGCGTTTCGATCGTGGTGGTGGACGCCGATTTCGGTGGTGGGGGACAACAGATCCGCCCGACGGGGGAACCTTATGCCCGGTTCACGTTCAGTTTATGCGCGACTCTCCCCACCACCTGACCCTGCGTCACGGCGCGGCACTACGACTACGACTGTTGTGTTCCCCTAGATATCCCCCTCCAGCTCGAACACGCCCCCACCAACGGAACCGTTGCACCGCGCTCGCGTTCGCGTTCGCGTCAGATGCACGCAGCGTACGCGCGATTAGATTGCATCGCGCGGCGACGCTGTGCGCCTCGTGCTCCTTACCTCACAATGCACCTCTCTTCCTCCTTTTTCTTCGATTATGGTTTCGTGACGATTCTTACGGTTCTCTTACGGTTCTCTTGCAGTTCTCTTACGGCGACAGCGTTTAGGCAACATCCTCCCCGTCTCGACGTCGCTCCCATTTCTGCTCCGACACCCCGTTTTCTGGTGATCAAACTATGCGACTTCATTCGACTCATGTACATTCGGAGTGGAATCAGTTACGTGGGGCGTCGATCGGATGATTTGTTTAAGAGTCGTTGCGCCTAGGGTAGGTGGGACATTGTGGCACAAGTGGGGTATAACTTTAACCGAGAATGCAACGGGTCCGTATTCTTCGTCGCTTGAAATTTTATCGCTCCGTTGATGTCGTAACGACTCAGGATAGTCTGAAAGTGTCGTAATAAAAAAGTCGTACGAGAGGCTATTAAACGGCCGTCTCTGTTTACTCTGTAAGATCGATTGTGAGCTCGCCTAATAATTTCAAACTTCGAAGCTGCGGAGTTCGAACTAAGCGTGTTCGATTCTTAAAAAACAAACCATAATTCTTTATACTCCTCTTAAACTTTCGTGAACACTGTACGATACACTTTGGTCCTGAAAATCCAACCGATTAACTCGTTTCCGCGAGAAATTCGATCGAATAAACTTCACTTCCCGACCATCCTTAGCCGACGCATACCCGACGAAATTCACCTAACATGTCGGAAGGGAACTGTGTTTCCGAACGGAAGCGAGGAATCCCCTAATCCCAGGGGAATCCTTTCGATTTCATCGACAGAACTCCTTTTTCATTCCTGACGAGGAATTGATGCGCCTTTTTGTGGAGCGTGCGAGAGTCCGCCGAATGACGGCACAGCATTCTTTTACGGTCCGGATAAATGTAAAGATGATAGGGTAGCTGGATGTCGGATAGATCGAACCCTTTTTTACGGCTGGCGAAAAACAAAGAGCGCGCGCATCTAGCGCCACTTGGACGAGTCTGCTCGCAAGGACCCTCCTCTGCCGTAGTTCTCTCTTTCTCTCTCGCTTCTCTTTCTCTCTCCATCTCCGTCCTCTATAAACCGAATGCCAGACAACGAGGGCATCAGCCCCCATGAATCACCGCCGGTCACCTTCACTTTTTATGCAAGTTTGGTCTCGCCCGGCCTCGCCGGTTGAACGAATCCTCGTGCTGAGCCCGCCCCGGGACCGGGACGATCGATACGGAAATTCGCGTTACTCCGTGATCGAGGGACGTAATTTGTCTGGATCCGGGACAGATCGCTGCTCTTTCCGGCCTTTCATGCGACACAGCCATCTTCGCCGGCAGTTTTCGACGTTTCTATTCACGACTTTCCTCGACGATTTAGGACCTTCGCAGAGTAGCAAATTATCTTCTCCCGCAAGGGACCAAAATGGCGGGAACATCGACATTTAAGTTGAAAGTGCTGAACGTATTTATTTTCCGTTGCGCGGTTTTTTTTTTTTTTCAGCTTCCATGAAATGCACGAAGGTCTTGTTTCGTCTCAAGTAGTCATACTTCTAGTAGACTGAAATGGCGCCAAAGAAAATGCTGAACGATCCGACGTTTACGTCTTCCGCCGGAAGGATCAAAGTCCCATTTCCAATTAAATAGGCAATCATTATAGATTAACGTAGATTGGATCGAGACCAAAATGGCGCCAGCTTCGAATCAATCCGAGAGGAATATTCTAAATGCAAACGAACGATTCGCAAACCTGTTATGTGTTCCATCAGGGTGATCACAGATTTGAACGTAGATTGGACCGTGACCAAAACGACGCCGAAGGAAATACTCGAAATCCGAGAGTAAGCGATTCGCAAGCAAGGCTTACGTCCTCCATCGGCAGGATTCGTTCGAAGCAGCTACAAAGCCGAAAGAATAGTTGAGATTTGCTCGATGGGACGCGAGATGCAGGGGTTAGCGGAATAACAATAAGTCTGATGCGACCGATAAATCAGCCTGCGAGCGTGCGACCGCGCGGCGTCGAGATTGTCTCGTTTTACAGCCGCGATTCGGCAATCTGATTTGCATAGATCGCATATGCATAATGATCGCGCTTGACGCGCGCGCTTATGGCGGGCGAATTTGGAATTTCAAGGACGCGCGTCGGGACTATACTCGGGACTGGGGACTGGAGACGTGCAGCGCCTCGGGAGAAGCATCGCGCCGGTGCTCTCGGCTCGATGCAGTTCCTTTGCTTTTCGGAGCGGCGACCGTGCGTCTTCTCGGCCGATAAAAATAAAATCCGTGCAATCGATTGGATGCTCGCCAGTTCCCAAGATCAGCCACGCGATCCGCTGGCTAATTAACCAAATCCTGCTAACGAGGAGCCTCGTCGCATAGTTCCGCTCCGTCTCTTATCACCTTTGGCCATTTTCGTTTCGACCGGTCACGATTTTAATGCGACGCGACGCGTTGGCCCGTTGCGTCGCGTCGCGTCGCGTGGCGTCGCGTCGCACGAGTTCGTTTACACTTGCGATATTTGTTGCCATTGTCGCGCAACGAGTCGTAATAGCGTTGATGCGCAATCCGCTGCTTCGAAGCCATGAGGCCTCGCGTCTCTTCGGCGTGGGTACGCAGTTGCCTTTGGTGCATGTGACACCCGCGTGAAGATTCTCTCCGCACCGTTGCGCCGCGCCGTGCCGAAACTAGTTCAAGTTCGACGCGATGCAGGAAAGGGGAAGCGAGCAGGCTCGGTCTCGGATCTATAGATCACCGGCCGGGTCCGGAACGATTCTGGGGACGTCGCGACGTCAGGGCCGAGTCGTCCATTAGGCGGTTTAGGCACCGTGCCGCTGCGGAACGTTTCGCACCTACGAAAACAGCCCGAAAAATATTCGCTGAAACAACATTTCGCGACACAATCCGCGGCTCGCGGAAGTTATAAATAGACGCAGGTTTAACAAACTTCGCGCGTGGCTTGCGGCCAAGCGTTTCGGACCGAGCCGATGCAATTCGTGTCGTCGATCGTGCGCCTCGTCCTTTTAATAGGCTCTTTTCTCAAGGACGATCCACAATGAAGTCATTGGACAGCGTTGGACGGGACAGTTGGTAGATCCGCATACCGAAATTGTTATCGAACGGATTCGTTTGAAAGACCGCCGGTCTTTCCACGCTCTTCCGCTTCGGTTTTCATGGAATTAAACTGGAAAATCAGATGGCTCTATCTAAATGGCTACCATCGACTTAATCTCTTCCGACGCAATTACGTAAAAACAAATGTTGCTGCACAAAGCATAGGTAAACGCGCAGCCCGCGAACGAGCTTCCGCAGGCCGAGGTATCGACGAAATTATTCATAGAAACAAATACAGAACAATAACGGATGGCTCGTTAGCACGGCAGCTATTTTTGCACGCGAAACTGAATTTCATCCAGCGGAGATTGAATAAATAATTATTTAATTACACGTGATCGCGGAGGCGCGCGTGTATCCGGCATCGGATCGTTTCGCACACGTATACCTGTGTACCTGCGTGCGCGCGCGCGCGCGTGCGTCCACGTTGCCGGCGTACCAGCGGAATTGAAATGCAGACACGCTATCTATTCGCACGCGCAATCCGGATTACACCTGCATCGTCACTATTACTTGAACAGTTACACTTTCTCCCGAGCGAGCGTCTGCCCGTGGAGAAAGAGCTCTCGCTTCGTTCGAGCCACGGCCGGGGAACCAGAGGGGCAATCGGGGACAGCGGGGATAATTGTTAAACGAGCTGGTTATTCAAAATACACCGTTGGGCTCTCACCGTGCGATTGCATTAAGAACCGTGCCGCGCCGGATGGAAAACGTTTCTTAGATAATAACGCCGCGCCGCTGCGTTTTCGCTGGCCAGAGACCAGACCCGTAACGCGGCCGCCTCCGTTGCCGTTACGAAATCCCGCACGCAGAAATCCGATCGATCCAATTATCATTTATTAATCATTCCGCGACTGAACCGGAGCGAATCGGGACCACGGGAGAGGCGGATCCGCGGCCAATTTCCCACGTTCAAATTCAATCGCGTAGAAAGTCTGGCGACTCGAATTCACCGCGAGCCAAACCGGACGTTCCAAGATTTTTGTAGGCTCTGCTGGGCCTACGGAGACTCTGCTCTACGCTGCACGGGCTGTGCTCGGCTGATTTACTGGCATTTAGTCCTCTGCGCGTGAAAATAGCTCCTGAAGAATGATGCGCGGTTTCTCGGTGTTGTACAAAACGTTACGAGAAACATGACGCAATTTTCTAGACCGAGATTTATTGGATTGCTTTCTTCTTCTTAAAGGGGTAATCGACCACTAAAAGGACCCATTCTTGTTACTGGTTACAGTAGACCAACCAACAATTTCTAGATAATAATAATAATTTTCTACAACCGGTCGAACAGGACAAGTGACTGTTAAATGTCGACTTCAAAGTCGAACGACTTAAGCTGCCAGAAAACTGAATGCTTTGAAAAAGCGCACACCGTGATCATCGTACATTCGAGTACGGGAAGTACATAATCTACAGTACACTGATCGACTAATNACGCTCTTCCGCTTCGGTTTTCATGGAATTAAACTGGAAAATCAGATGGCTCTATCTAAATGGCTACCATCGACTTAATCTCTTC